TTTTTTTTTTTTGCAGAACCAGGAACTGAACTCAGGTCCTTGCGTTTGCCAGGGAAGTGCTTATTCCACTGAGCCATCTCCCCCCTTCTGCTGAGTTTTAAGAGAAAACTTCCCTCAGATTGTATGGCGTCTTAAAAATGGTTACCCCTGGCAACCTCTCACACACATGCATCAAGATTTTGTTCAGTAATACACAGTTGAGGTAAAATAGCAAAATAAAGTGGTCACCGAGGTAGATGTTACAGCTGTACTGTCACTCCAACTTTAGGTTTCAGGTTATGGTTTTTTTTTTTTTTTTTTGTGGAACCAGGGATTGAACTCAGACCCTTGCACTTGCCAGGCAAGCACTTATTCTACTGAGCCATCTCCCCTGCCCCAGGTTGTGGGTTTTATAATAGCTTCATTGTTCTTACTGACTTAATTTATGATAATAAGAACTTGGTTCACGTTTATAGTGAGAAAATGTGACTAAAATTCATCTTAAGGGCCAGCCAAAAATAGCTCAGTGGACTGCAAGCAGGCATAGGAGCTGGGGGTTTGATCTCCGCGCCCCCACCCCCACCCCCGCCCCTGGGGCTTGCTGAGACTGGGGGTGGTGGCATGCAAGTCTTTAATCCCAGCTCTTGGGATGCTGTAAACAGGCAGATTACTACGAGTCGGATCTAGTAATGAGACCCTGAACACCCTGTAGATCCTTCTCTAAAATATAAAAAATGTCAGATCAAAGGCTAATGTTAATGTGGTCAAAGACAAGGCAAGTGAGGCATGAGTAGTCTCTTCTGCCAGCATTGGTTCTGTGTTCCCAGTCGCGGGGTATGAGAGCACATCCTGATGCGTCTGCCTTCTGCCATGGGGTCCCTGTGATGCTGAGGGGTAAGGGGTAGCAGGGTCACCCAGCTGTCACAGGAGGTAGGTCTCCTGCCTAGCAGCCCTCATCTGCATGAAACCAGGCCCTCAGCTCTGTCCTGAGGCTCTGAGCTCACTGTCAGTGTAATGTGCCAGGCACAGGCCACAGGTCTCACCACGTGAGCCCTCCGCAGTGCCACCTGTGTGTGGAGGCCTGCAGCTGCAGTCTCAGCCACCTCCACCTTTCACGCCACTCCCATGCTGAGATGCTGTGAGTGTCTACCGTAGTAAATGCTCACCAAGGGTGAATAGGGGACGAAATCATTGTTACTGAGAAATAGATTTTTACCTTTGAAAAATTATACTAGAAAGACAACTAGGATATACCAAAAAGGAAAACAAAACAAACCCTCCGTGTGCAGCTGTTACACAAGATAGTCACCAGGATAGTTGCTGCATTGCAGGACTGGTGTTTGCTGAGAGACCTACTTTGTAATGTGGTATCTGAAAGCAGGCGAAGGTGTGTCCGCGCCCCCTACTCCACCTGCGTTGATGGCCCCTGTCTGGGTTGGGGCTGCTGCCTCCTTCCTGCAGGTGCTCAGGCTTAAGTCCCTGGAGGCAAGTGCAGGCTTAGGTGGATGGCTGAGGGGCAGACCCATCTCAGCGGGCAGTGGGGGCGGGGCTCTGGGCTTGCTGAAATGCGGGTCGGTGTGCGCCAGTTGCAAATGCGTGTGTATGTGTGTGTGCGTGCGTGCGTGCGTGCTGAGGGACCCTGTGCACTGGGGAGGGAGGTGAGAATTCTCCATTCTCTAAGGGTCCAGCTTGGGGCGTGCCAGTGCCCTGCTGCAGGGGCCCTGAGATGCAGTGACCGTAGGAGATACAGCACTTAGTACCCTTTCTGCAGAACATTGGGAACTTATGTTTTCTTGTCCTCCCATCAGCCTGGAGGCATTGGTAACAAGTTTTATTTTTCCATTTAAAGATGAGAAAAATGAAGCTCGGGCTGGTTAAGTGACTTGTGCAGCGTCCTATGGTGAGTCCGAGCGACGGGGCAGGCCCTGCTGTCTGTGCTCCTGTTGCGACGACAGCTACCACTCAGACAGGACCCAGGGACCTTGCTGCCTGCGGAGGTCATTTTATCTGGATCGCCAGCTGCATGCTGTGTGCTGTTGACCGTAAAGTCAGTAGCGAGATCTAAGATGTTAGTGTGTTTAGAAGAACGGAAGGCATACCTGATTTCAGGGGGAGTTTGACAGTTCGGGGTGAGCCAGGATGGGCATGAAGAGCAGTCTTGTGTGCAGCCCTCCTGTGTGTCCTAGATGGCTTTCATTGCCAGATTGCCTTTGCATACATTGCTTGTGAAACCCAGGCCGTCCTTCCCTAAAGCGCTGGCCCGCACTCAGTGCCTGTCAGAGCAAGCCAGCCTCGCTGACCAGCACCTGGGCGCAGCACCACACACGCGGTGTTGCTGAGACTGTGACCTAGAAATACTGCGAAGGCACCGCGGAGCAGGCTGCCTCCCCTCGCTCACCTCTCTCTCCTTTCTGTCGACAGGCCTAGCGCCCGTGGGCCTCTGCTCCTGCACGACGGGCGGCCTCTCCGTCCTTCTCTCTCCGGCACTGCCCGCTGTGTCGCGGCCCCTAGGAGCTTGGCAGAGCTGCACCTCTGACTGGCCGTTCCTTTCGGTGCTGCTGTCCTCTTGGGGGTTTCCGATTTCTGTATACATGTAGCTTTGCCAGATATGTACTTAGTAATTCCCACTGTATTAATAAACTCCACTTACTGTGTACTACGCGAGTTTAAAGTAAGAGCGATCAGCTGTTCCTTCTGATAACAGGTAGTTAGTGTCACACAGGTGTCCCTACAGTGGCATGATGGTGACCTGTGGACAGTCGCTGAGCTGTAGGAGTCAGGCATGTGCTGCACGTCCCGTGGTACTTAGAGACCTGGTGACGCCCTGCCCCGGGGCCTACCCAGGACACGCTGAAGTAGATATTGTGTAGTCTGTGTGAAGTTTTGCAATTCTGCTTTTCTCTACTAATCTTTCAAGTGCTCAGTGATGTGTGTATCTGTCCTTCTAACTCCTAATAAACTCACTCCAACTGACCTGTGTCTGTGTCTGTCTGCTCGGTGCCCTCTCCCCCATGGAACGCTGTGCAGTGCCCGTGCGTGGCGCTGCCACGACCCTGCCTGAGGGGCATTGTGCCCGAGCTTCCAGCTCTGGTTCATGTCCAGATTCCTCGTGGTGTTAGGACAGCTGGCCTGTCCTTTCAGAAGGTCTCAGGGATTTTAGTTGATTGTATAAATAAGCATTTTAATTTTCCATCTGCGTTGATCAGGGCCACTTATGAAACCGTCCTGGGCCCCTCTGTTGCCTTGGGGGTGGGCTGCTCCTGGGACTCGGCCTCGCCCTAGCCGGGTGTGCAGCCCCACTGCGCTGCCTGGGTCTCCATTTTGGTGACACTCGTGGGTGGGTTCTGTTTCCCTGGGCCTCAGCCTTGGTCTCAGGGCAGCAGTGTCATTACCTCTCCTCTGAGGCCGGGATGGCTGCTCTTTGAATGAGCTTCCTGTGGAAAGTTTCTGAGCCTGATCCGTGGTCTCTGGTGTTCTCGGCGGCGGCAGGAGGACGGCGGGGCGGGGTGGGGCGGGGCGGGGGCTCTGTGCCGGCGGGCGGGAGCCCCGCGCTTCACCCTTGTTCACGTTTCTTTCAGGATGGCACTGGATCTCTAAAGCGCAGTGGTTCCTTTAGCAAGCTCCGGGCATCCATTAGACGCAGCAGTGAGAAGCTGGTTAGGAAGCTGAAGGGAGGAAGTTCACGAGAGAGTGAGCCGAGGAACCCCGGGTAACTATCCCCCTGCGTCCGCGCTGGGCCCCTTGCAGAGGCCCGGCCTGCGGAGTGGGGAGGCCCAGCAGTTCTGGCTGCTGCCATCAGGACAGGCTGAGAGGGCCTGGAAGGGCTGATGCCTTAACAAATTTGTGGGGTTCTTTGGATTTTTTCTTTTTTTCTTTTTTAACATGTTTAAAGAAAGCCTCTGCAGTGAAAAGTGGGGACTTGATATCACAGAGCTGGGCACTGGGGCTTACTCATTCTAGATGGGCGTTATTTATAAATCACATTGGCTGAGATTCTTTGAAATTTTAATCTTTCAGGATCAGAGGTTAGCTATAACTATTAAACCCCAGGCAGTTCCCGGTACGGGGAGAAAAACTGTGTCCCATAGAAGGTAGACTCAGGCTGCGTCACAGGAGAGTGGCCCCCGGCGCTCGAGAAGCAGGGGTGTTTTGTAAAAGGCCAGTGCCTTGGTCTTGGCGCTCCGACAGTACCATCACCTGGCCAGTCTCTGCAGCAGGTGTGCGGCGGCCTCTGTCCTGTTCCCCTGGCTGTTCTGGGGCACTTGTGTGCAGGGACCCTGCCTGGTACCTCCTGCCACCAAGGGCACCCTATAGGCCAGAGTTCTGGTGGTCTCAGGTCTGGGGCACCTTTGGAGCACTTTAGTTAGAGGTGAGGGTTGCGTCCTTTGTTGCTTTTACTTTTCCAAAGCAGGTCCACTGTCACTGCTCTCGGTGTCCTTGGGAACCTGGAGTGAGATTGCTGCCACCCACAGTTTGGTGCCTCAGTGGCCAGAGGGGCTATGATGGCCTAGGCTGTTGCCCTCAGCCACTGCGTCCCCCAGGGGTCTCTGTCCCTGGTCCCTCATTCTCAGCAGATGCTGCGTGTCTCCTGTGGCCAGGTGGTCATTGTTGCTGCTTGTTCTTGCACACCCACACGTGGGTGAGCACGAGTGTGCCAGCCCTCTGGGCATCCAGGCTACCGGCTCTGCTGGCTGGCACTGTACCCAGGAACCACCGTGACCTGGGCATTTGGTTCTGCTGTGAGAGCTCGGCCAGCTCTTAGCTCAGCTGCAGCAGGTGTTTAGCCCATGCCCCAGTTAGGTGCACGGCACAGGCCAGAGGTGGCAGGACTTGCAGGCATGACTTCACGTGACATGCGCTGTACTGCCCCAGCCTTACACAGATGCAGCACGCTGCTTCACCTTCATACTCACAGCCTCTCTTCTCCATTACAACAGCCTTTGCAGGTTTTGTTTCTTCTAAACCTCAGGTGTGGCCAGTCCTGGGTGGCTCTAGAACCTGGCCTTTTTGCTCAGGTGCCATGCAAGCTGGACAGCTAATGTGACTATGTTCTTAGGGCCATGGTGACTGCTGCCCACATCCAGTAGGTCAGCAGGCCTGTTGCTGTCCCAGATCCAACTGACAACAAGTGGCCATCGTAAGGGGAGGACATGCTTTCCTCTGCGCCTGCAGTGAAGAAAGAGGCTGCAGGGTGCCAGCTGGTTTGCTGTGAGCATTCCTGCCTCTCAGAGTGAAAGATGGGTTTTTGGGGCTAGAGATTGAACCCAGGGCCTCAGGCGTGGCACACTCTTGGTCTGCTCGGAGCAACCCTGGCAGCCCAGGGGACACAGGTGTGGCCTTCCATCTCTTGCCATCCAAACATGAATATTTGGGCCTGGGGCCACAGAGTTGGGACAGCTGGCATTGTTAGGCCCAAGAGCACGTGAAGGTGGTACCTGGAGGTACTGCTTAGGTGTAAATCTCCTTGCGCTGGCCAGGGAAGCGCTTAGCCTACCGAGCCATCTCCCCGGCCCCTTCCATTTGTTTTTCACACTGGATGGAGATCACTGTGTGGCAGGCGCTTGAGCTCTAGTGTGCCAGCCACACTGACCCGGCCCCTGAGGGCCTGGGCGGAGCAGCAGCGTGACACCCTGCTGGCCTGTGCACAGGGGCAGCTTCCTCTCCGGATGGTGGAGGCCACCGGACAGGGGGGCCCATGCCTGGATTCTGTTAAGGGGCGGCCTGGGCTGCCGCACACCAGGGCCTGCGGGCAGCGGCTGCTGTGCTGACGCCCCCAGCCCAGCTATCACTTGCTGTCCCTTCAGGTTTAACATCACAGGTGTGTAAAGTGAAACTGAAAAGGTGACATCAGGTGGGGTGACAGGCTTATGGCACTGGAGGCCTCCCGCCCCAGGTCCTTGAACATGTCCTTTATTTTTAGACCACCCCTTCAAGGTGGATTTTGATGGTTTTTCTGATGGACTCAGGGCAGGGTGGCAGGCGGCCGGCCCTGTTGGCTGGGAGATGCAGCAAGCCCAGGAGGTAGTGCCCCACCCTGTAGAACCCTCAGGCCATCTAGGCTTCCAGGGCCTCTCAGCCATTGGTCAGTCTGAAAACTGACGGTCCTTGTGAATTGTGCGGCTGTTTTTTTTTTTTTTTTTAAATGTACAGGGTCTACAGGGTCTCACCACGTAGATCGGACTTGTAGTCCTGTTTTCAGTGTCCTAAGTGCTGGGATTACAAGCATGCACCTCCATAGCCAGTCTCAGTTGGATCTCAGTGTGCTCCAGGGTGGGGCCAGGGCTGGCACGGCACATGGGGGATTGGATCCCAGCAGCTGCGCTCTGCCTAAGCGAGCAGGCACGTTAGTCCGCTGAGCTGTCTGGCCAGCCCTTCAGGCTGGTTTTAATGTGGCAGCATAGGCGGTGTCACAGCAAAGACAACACTTGATTTTCATTGACTTTTCCTGTGTGGGGTGGGGCTGGCGCATCGGGTTATGGGCAGAGGGGCTGCATGCCGCGGTGCCTGTGTTCACCTGCCTGCATGCTCCAGCTTCACCCTGGTCCACTGGAAGCATGCAGCCACGGCCCACGAGCTTGTTTCTAGGCTGTCCATAGGTGATCCCAGCTGTTCCCATGCAGCGACATCCACAGGGGTCCACATGGATGTCACAGGCCTCTGGTGACGTCCAGTGCCACTGCTGTGTCCTCAGCTGGGAGAGGGTGCTGCTCCCTACATGCCAAGCTAGGCCAGGCCTTCCCCTGCCAGCAGACTGGTGCTGCATGGAGACGAGCCCGCTGCGCCACGGGAGAGCACGTTAGCCTGCGGGAGAGCTTGGTCTTAGCCCCCCGCTGGCTGGGAGCTCATGTGCCAGAGCCATGGCCTCCACAGAGCCCGGCAGAGGTGAGGCTGCCACGTGGGGAGCTGTCCTGGCCTGTGCTGGCAGCCAGACGGGTGCCACATTCCCAGGCCAGGAGGGTCTCGCGAGAGCCACACCATTTCTCACTTGCTGTCAAACATGCGGAGTGGCAGAGAGGTGGACACTGGCCTGCGGTGCAGGTGTTGAGAGGCGTCTTGGCACCTTCCCACAGGGGGCTGGCATGGGGGCACCCTGGGGCTGCTTCCCTGGAGGCACTTGAGCTTTAGGGCTTGGCTTTCAGGGATTACTTTCCAGGATTGCAGCGTCCTGGGCTGGGAGCGGCTGTTTGAGGCCTAGATCCACTGCCAGCACCACAGGGTGCACGTCATACCGTGGGAAATGTGGGGATTGTTTGCCTCAAAGGGTGCACGTGGCTAGTCTCCCATCGCCATCCCTGCATGGATGCCTCAGAAGGCATGCCCCCTGCGCTCACTGCACAGCTGTGACCAGCGTGAGTGCAGTACAGGTGTGGATCTGCTCTGGCAGGCCACTGTGGTCTCCAGGACGTGTGAGGGCTGGGCAGCTGTCCCGAGACAGGCATAGGAGGAGCGCTGTGGTTTATTTTCTAATTGTGGATATGGGTTGCTTGCAAAATCATTCAGAATTGTCCATATTATTTGCCAAAATAAAACATTTATTTCTTCCTGTAAAGTCCCTACACTTTTGTGGACATAGTTTTTGTAAAAACCTAATCCCTAGACAACACTGTCCTAGCTCTGCACAGCAAGGACTTCACACCACACTCCATCCAGGCATGGGGCACCTCCGTGTAGCCTGTGGGAAGACAAGCTGCCACAGAGCGTGCCTCAGTTTCCTCCCAACGTGCAGAAACCACAGGTCTGCGGCACCTGGCAGACAGTGGCTCCTGAGGGAGGGCTGGGAGCTGCTGCGCAGTCCATTGTGCATCTGTTGGAGGTGCAGACCGAGTGGTCCCAGCCTTTCTCAGAGGCTACAGCCTTAGTGACCACTGGGCTTCCTGTCTGTGGCCAGTAGTCTGGCTTGGGTTCTGCAGGATCCCACTGCTGGACGCTGGTACTCTGGCTGGGCTGGGGCACAGATGGCAGTACCCTTACTGCCTGGCTGGGCTTGGGGAGGTATGCTGGATGTAGTTTGTCCCTGTGGGTCTAGCTCAGCGTCTCTCCCACCTGCATGCACTAGGGCCTGGGGGCTCCTGGGCTAGGCTGTAGGGTTGCGGGAACCTAGGTATAGCTTTCTAGGAAGTACTGGTAGCTGGGGAAGGCTCTCTCCCTGTCCTGAGTGGGCACTGAGGGAGACAGGAGAGGACAGGGCACAAGTGGCCCTCTGCACTCACAGTGGAGTGCATTGCAGAGACCCTGGAAGCATGAGCCCTGGTAAGCCACCTCTCTTCTAGGGGCTGGAGTGTGGGGCAAGTACCCAGGCCTGATAACCTAGGTGGAGTCGGCACCCCGTCCTGACAACCTGTCCCTTCTGAGGAGCTGGTGCTATTGTTACAGGAGACGCCAGCAAGCTCAATGCCTGTGCCTGAGTGACCCAGTTCTTGCTTGGTCAGAACTGGGCTCTTAGGACCTTGGCCGGGCTGCTGTGTAGCTGCCCTGTGTCCAAGGCTGTGGTTCCTCGCACCCCTTCCTCACTGACTGTGTAGGAGCATGAGCAGGGGGGCAGGTGGGGTGCGAAGACCACCCGCAGGGTCCGGGCTGGGCGGCTGCCTGGGCCCAGAGCAGCCTCCTCCTCCTCGCGGATGCGGTCGACCATCAGCCTCATGAGGAGCTGGTTGGCCCAGGTGATGCCGAGGGCTGGGCGCAGGTGCTCGTCCTGAGGCCTGGGACACAGGAGGGGATGCTGCCGTTCAGGGGTTCAAGGCTGCCCCGCCCCGTACACAGTGGCTCACACTCACCCTAGCTGCTCCATGGCCTCTGCCACCTGCAAGAGCATGGGGTCAGCGAGGGGTCCTAGGAGGGCAGGGCAGCTACCTCCGGGCCCAGTGGCCCTGCACCTGCGCTCACCTGATTGACACACAGCACAGGGCTCTGGAAGGTGCTGCTGAGCTGGCGCAGTGTGGCCCCCAGAGACTGCAGGTGCCTGGCACGGGCAACGAAGTCCAAGCTGTCCAACTCACAGCGGAATGGGGCCGCCACTGAGTCCACTACCAGTAGGCGAGCCAGACCCCGAGACAGCAGCATGGGGACCTTGTAGCTCACACACTCCATCAAGGTGTCCTGCAGGGGGGTGTGCGTCACAGCAGTCACCTTGCCTCTGAGCCACAGCACTGTCCGCTTGGCTGCCTCCTGCCACGGGGTACTGCCACACCACAGTCCTGTGTCCTCACCATCTCCTGCTCACCCACCCTCAGCCATGCGCCCGTGCCTGCCACCCTCTCTGCCCTGGCAGGTAGCCGCCCCTTCAGGCGGCTCTGCTGTCCCTCTCTTGAACAAGTGGGACCTGTCACAGCTTGGCCACCTGCGCATGTTGGGGCTGCCATGCCCTGGGGTCCAGGGCTGGGTTGGTTTGGCCCAGGCGACTCAGCAGCAAAGTTTGGGGAGAGTGGTGGGGGTGGGCACAGGAAGTACTCTCAAGTGGCACACAGCTGAGGGGCCTAGCCCTGGTGTCACTGAGGGTCCGGCCCAGGTGACACACAGTCTGTGCTTCTCCCCAGGGCATCCCCAGCGGAGCCTCTGTGCGTGGAGAATGACAGCAGCAGCCTGGAAGATGCTAGCACTAACGTGAGTGTCCACACTGCTGAGGGCTCCCCGCGGGCGGCCAGGTGCCCGGGGCTCCCTCCACGCAGCCCTGGGCCAGGTTCTGGGCACTGACCCGTGGCCTCTCCCACAGTGAACCCTGCCGGCCTGCTGTAGGAACAGATGCAGCTGCAGCCACTCTGAGCAGTCTGGAGCTGGCCGTGTTGGCCAGGGCGAGGACAGGGCCCACAGAGCCCGCGACCAGGCCACACTAACCACCCCTGCAGCCCCAGGCCTTGGAGCGGCGGGGCAGGAGAGCAGGGGTACACTGTCCCTCTGGGGCCACGCAGGAACCCGTGCTGGACCCGCCTGGGTCTCCATGTCACGTCACCGCTCATGTTAGCACCCTGCGTGTGTGTGAGAATGTATCTTACTGTAAAGTTTTTAAAAGTAAAAAGTTTATACCCTCATCCTTCACTCCAGTGTCTTCTCAGCAGTGCACAACTGTGGGCTGTGCGTGGAGGGCGGGCACCTTCCCACCTCTGCCCCGACCTTCCACTCCAGGGACAGAGCAGGCGGAGCCGCTGTCCCAAAGGTGGGTGCTGCACCTCCTTTGCCAGGGTGCAGTGGAGGCAGCAGGTGAGCTGGCTGGGAGTCGGGGCGGGCTGTGCCACAGCCTAGCAAGGGTTCCGCTAGGACCCCATCTGGATGGCTGGACAGCTGTTCTCTGTGGGCTGGCCACCTGTCTTCCTCCTCCCAAGCCCATCCCTGACCCCTGCCGTGGGTCACAAGGCCCCCACTTGTGCTCCGTGGCCTGTGGGATACTCACCACGTCGGCTGCATGCTCGATGAAGATCCGGTCTCCGAACTGGATGCTCTGGATCACCTCGGCCGGCACATCCGCTCGCAGCCGTGGCTGCTGGGCAATGAGCTGCCACAGTCGTTTGCTGGGGAAGATGTCCTCCGTGCAGATGTAGACGGCACCTGCGGAGCCAGGGTGCCCCACGAGGGCACTGCCGCAGCCTGCGCATTCTGCCCACTCTCCCACTCTGTGCTGTGCCTCCCCTGCCAGGCCCTGTGCCAGGTGTGTGGTGGAGCACGGGGACCACCAGGGCCAAGGGGGGTCTGCAGAGGCTCCCTCGCTGGGGGCACTCCAGGTCCCCTGAGCAGCAGTGGCCTGGGCTGTGACGAGCCATGAAGCATGTCACAAGAGCCCACAGCTGATGAGAACCTGGCCACCACCAAGAGCCCATATTTACAGGCAAGTGAGCTAGCTCCCAGTGATGTGAGGGGGCTGGGTGTGGTGGCCTGTGCCTGTACCCCCAGCACTGGAGAGTCTGATACAGGAGGATTTCCACAAGTTCAAGACCAGGCTGGGCTATGTAAGCCGTTTCAAGGCAATCTAGACTACATGGTAAGACCATGTCTTATAAAAAAACAAAACAAAACATGGCTTAAGATGGAAACCACTGTGCTTCAGGTCAGCAGGAAAAATGACAGTGCAAGGCCCTGCCCGCTGTGGAGGATGTGGGCCCTGAGGAGCCACTGCGCAGCAGAGCCAAGGCAGGAGAACAGGTGCTTAAATCCTGCCTGGCAACGGACAACCTGTCTTAAAAGGGACCAGAAACGTGGCTGTGGGAGTTTTGCTGGAGGGAGGCCTTGGGCCCCAGCCCGGCGCAGCAGGACAGAGGGACACATGCTGTGGGTATGAGACAGCCAGGCTGCTGGGAGGCATGGGCAGTGCCCTTCTGGAGCCCATGGCCCAGCAGCCGCGCTGGAGGGCCAGCAGGAGGGCAAGGTTCAGCCCCCCACGCACTCACCAGCCTCCAGGCCGCCGTGCTGCCGTGGGAACTGCACCGCCAGGCAGAGCTGCAGGGCCAGCTGGGTCTTCCCCGCCGAGCTGCGGCCAGCCAGCTCCGTGATGCCGTCCAGGGGCAGCCCTCCTCCCAGGAGCCGGTCCAGCCGTGGGCAGCCGAGGCTCAGGCGCTGATGCTGCGCGGGGAAGCGCTCCCTCTGCTGGTACAGCTGCAGTGCTGTGGGCACAGGCCGCGTGGTCACATGGGGCGGCCCCAGAGGCTTGGACCTAGCTGATGGCCCAGGTGTGGCGAACACAGCACAGAAGGGTCCACTGCCTGGCCCCAAGGCGAGAGCAGAGTGGGCCGTCTGCAACCCTGGGGGACGTGAGGAGCCGCACGCAGCAGCCCTCGCCCCCAGGAGCCACGTTAGTACATGGAAGGTGCCACCAAGAGGAAAGCTGTGGCCCTTGAAGGCTGCCAGGCCACCGGGCCCCCACTAGCTGCACCCTGGGCGAGGGCGGGGTGAAACTTGGGCTGGAGGAGCAGGCTGTCCTGGCACCTGGCCTGGGTACCCACGTACTAGCTGGTGGCACTTGGTGGGTGTCTCCACGCTGGCAGCAGCAGTCACATAGTGACTTGGCCCCCCCCCACGTGACAGCAGACAGGAGTGGCGCCAGGGCCAGCTATACGCCTGAGGCTGGCTCGGTGCCTCCATCCGCTTGGAGCCCCTGTGGGTGCTAGGACCACCATCCCACAGGGAAGGACTGGCGAGGCTGGCACCACTCCCGCGGTGTGGACCCTGCCCGCCCACCTGTAAGCATGCAGTGGCCCCGAAGGTGGGTGGCGGCCGCTGTCAGCAGGCGCTGGGTGTCGGGGCTGGACAGGCCAGTGCGTCTCTGCAGGTCAGGTGCAGACATGCACAGGACTTCCTTCACGGTCTTGAGTCTGGCTGCAATCACAGGGCCACACCAGACACACATGGTTGACAGGCCAGCTACAGGGCAGTGAGCAGAGTGCTGGGAACCTGGGCTGGCCACTGACATGCCAGGAAACCTGAGAATGACAGGTGGCTGCAGGCAGTGGGACAGCTCCGCCTGGGGAGGCCCAGGTAACTGTCACCCTGCCCCCCTGGAAGGTGTCAAGAGGGAAGAGCCAGGCATGCTGCGTGCACACAGTCCCAGCACCCAGGAAGGCTGAGGCAGGAAGACTGCAAGATTGAAGCTAGCCTGGGAAACTTAGTGAAATAAGAAGTAAAAGATACAAAAGAACTGGGACTGTAGCCAGCGTGAAGGTCCTGGGCTCACTCTGTAGTACCCTTGGCAGAAAAGGGACAGCAGCTTAGCATGGACAGGGAGGCAAACTGCCCCTGTGTAGACACCCTCGGGACACAGGCTCCAAAGGTCCTGGCAGAGAAATCTCAGACTGTGTGAAGGAGAAAGAGAACAGGATACTGAAGAAAGACCCATGAGGAAGACCAAAAGGCCAAAGGGCACCTTTCAATCAAAACAGGCTCAGGAGGGAGGTCCTGCCAGCACTGGGGACCCAGCATCGGGACCTGCTGGTGCCCAGGCAAAGTTCATTTCCCGGTAAGAGAAAGCGCTCCTGTAGAGCCTGTTCCCCTCCGTCCCCAAACTGCAGGCGTGGTTGCAGCTGCAGTAGTCTTTCTGTGACCATGAGGCCTGAATTGTGAAAACAGCCAAGAGTAAATTAGCAAAACAGCAAGACCCTGCCTGCCATCAGGTGGCGGCACCCCGCCTCCATGTGTATTCAGGGCTGCTCCACGTGTAATCTGCAGAACCCTAATGTTCCGCATCCCAGCAGATACCCTGGAAGACAGGAGGTCGGAAGGCAGGCCCAGACCCGCAGCCCTGCACGGCAGACGGGGCACACTCGGCCAGGGGCACGCAGGAAGCTCAGCAGGTATGGCAGGAAGAGTGCAAGTTGGAGCACAGGCTGGGGAACCTTGCAACTTAGTGAGACCCGGCCTCAAAACCAAGTTAAGAAGGCTGAGGATACAGCTCAGCGGCACAAGGTCCCGAGTTTGATTTCTGGTACCAACAAAAGCGGGGGAGGGCTGGGGCGACTCAGTGCGAGGCTCCTGGGTTCACCCTGGCACCGGCCGCGGCCACCTCGGGCTTCAGTGAGCATGCGGGCTGAAGGACGGTGCTCAGCAGATCCTGCCATCAGGACCATTCCCGTGGGAGCCAGGGTTGACAGGAGCCCACCTCTCTTGAGGGCCGCCAGGACTCGGGGGTTCAGGTCCAGCTGATCCAGCTCCATGTCCTTGTGGGCGGGGGCTTCCCTGGGCAGCAGCAGAGGACGTGCTCGATGCTGTGGGGAGGCCAGGGCCACAAAGGAATGCTCAGCGGCTCCGCGGCCGGGCTCCCTGGGCCCGGGGCTCCCGTGCTTGGTCCTGACCCCCAGGGCAGTGTCCAGCCGTCCCCCAAGACAGAAAAAGGCATCTTCTGGCCAAGCAGCCTCCCTGGGGCCTGGCTCCCCCAGTCACACGGTTCCGCAGCTCAGGCCCCTGCAGGGCTCACACAGCTGCAGCCTCCTTGGCGTCCCTCAGGCGGGTCTCCATGGGGACCTGGGAGGCGAGTGGGCTGTGGGTGACCTGGAGGGTCATGTAGCTTCCCACTCCCGTGGCTCCCTGGGGAAGTGCCCAGCGACCTGGGAGAAGCGGGAGCCGTGGGCTCTGAGACTCCCTCCTAGTAACGGGCAAGTGAGGTGGCAGTGCCACCCGCGCCCGGCACTCTTCGGGAGTCGGGAACAGGCAGTGCCCAGTGCTGGACAGCCCCACCTGCTGACCACAGCGCGCGAGGTCTCCTGGGCGGGAGCACTCCCGGCACGCTGGGAGGCTCAGGCAGGAGGACTGCACGCCCCATCCCCGCCAGGGGCCAGTGACTTCGCGCGACCCAGCCGGGCCCTGTGGCGCCAGGGTCCTGTGTTCAGTCGCCCCACGCGCGTGCCCCACGCACAAACCAACCCAGAAACCAAGCTAAGAGCGGGGCTCCGCGGGGCGCGCTGCCTCCCTCGGAGCTGCACCCCTGCGCCTGGGGAGGACGGGCTCCGCGGTGGGGGGGGGCTGGGCCGGTTCAGCACGAGCCCGCCTGCCCGCTCG